GTAGTCTGACCTGGGGTCTGCCTATCTCTACCATCTCCCCTTGTATCTTATCTCATCCTGGACCTGCCCTGAACAGGCAAAGGCCACAGTCATCTTTTGTCTCTAGATACATTGAGAGAGGAAAGAGATAAGAACATATGTGACAGCCAGAAAAGCTTACAGTCCAGAGGAAGGGTGCAGAGGAGAGAACAGCAGAGATAGGGCTGAGCTTTGAGGTAACAAAATGTCACAGACCACTTTGCTTCAGTGGTTGCATCAATGAAGGAGGAAAAGAATCACACTCATTGACTCATATTTTGATGTACCTGTCATTGTAAATGCCTCCCAACTGGTGACTTGGACTCTGACTAATATCCTTTCTCTTTGGGTAGAAGAGAAAAGAAAGAATGAGAAGAGCTTACCCTGGCTTTTGTATGCTGTTCTATTTTCATTAAACTGTTGTAGGAAAGTCTAAACTGGTCCAAAGAGCAACTAATCGCTTTACTACGTGGGACAGCAAACAAGTATCAGGGGATGGCCACCTGGCAAAAGCATATAGTTTGATAGCTGAAATCCAAACATAAAATGAGATTCCATCTTCTTTTTCCCACATACTTTTTGTTTTTGGCTTTTACAGTAAGAGAAACTTTCCATTTTAGAGGTCAGATCCCTCTTTATCTTGACCACATTTCAGATTTCACAAAGAAAACCATTTCAGAGGAAAATAAAACTAAACTGTCTTGAGCCTCTTGATACAGCACAGTTTAGAAAGAAATTTTGGGAAAATAGCCAAAGAAACATTCAGGTTTCTTAAGACATGCATGAAATGTGGAAACGGCCTAAAATTCTATTTAGATTATAATTTCAGAGCTACAAACAATCACTGGAGTAATTTTGTTCATCATGCATGGTAATCACTTCATTAAGTGGTTTCCTTAAGGTCAAACCAATTCAGTGCAACATCCTAGGCAAAGATTTTGCTTTTGTCTCCCAGTTAAGCCAGTCATATCTCTGTCCAGGTAAAGTGAATATAAACCCCGGAATGGAATGAGAAGGAAATCTGGAGCCAAGGTATTTATTGATGTGGCCTAAGGAAGGTTCGTGTCAAATCTGCCTTGACTGACCCCTGTCCTTCTAGAGAATTCTTGTATTCCCTGCTAGAATCTGTGAGCTTTCTACCCAGCACTCTTCTAATAAATTCCTTTGATGAAGTGAACCAGAGGTCATTTCTGTTGCTTACAATCAAAGAGCTCAAAAAGACTCATTAAGCATCTTTTTGTGTGTTTTTATACTGCTTAAGATTTCTCAAAGTCCTTTGCATGCTAGTGTCCATTTCAAAAGGAGGTACAACAAATATTTAATGATTTTTATATTTATTTGACCTTTCTCAAGGAGTATTATTTGGGATTTCTTTCTTTCTGTTTTGGTAGAATACACTCTGAAAAACACTGTATTACACCGTTGCTGCATTGCTGTCCCTTAAGGCAGTGCCTTAGCCCTAGAGCTAATTTTCAACCTACTTAGCAGAGCTTCAAAAGCCTTTCCTATTTATTAAATCAGGGCACTGTATTTATGGTATGATAATATGAACCTTCATTGGAAAGACTGATGCTGAAGCTATAATACTTTGGCCACCCGATGCGAAGACCCAACTCATTGGAAAAGACCCTGATGCTGGGAAAGATTGAAAGTGAAAGGAGAAGGGAGCGGCAGGGGATGAAATGGTTAGATAACATCACCAACTCAATGGATGTGAATTTGAGCAAACTCCAGGAGATAGTAGAAGACCGAGGAGCCTGGCTTGCTGCAAACCATGGGGTCACAAAGAGTCAGACACAACTTAGTGACTGAACAGCCATGACAAGTACGGCCCCTGTGCAGTAATATTGTAGTAGTTAGAGCATTGCTAACAGTTTTTACTTGAAGCATTCTAGTTTATTTCTATGGGAAGGGAGACAAAATTTCTATAATTTCATTTTTTGTTGTTTTATTGTCTAAACTATATTCCAAAAGGGCTTTATGCCTCAGTTTCCCTAGAAATAAAACAAAAAGGAATGGTACTTAGCTGATATCCCTCTGAGCATTGGCAGTTTGATTGAATTAAGTGATGCCTACAGTGTGGTCTGAATTCTGCAGAGACAAGATTTCTAAAACACCCAACAATAAGTGTTATAGAAAAGACTTCACAGTGCCTTTCATGTATTTTAATCCAATGTTTACATAATTGCATAACAAGTCTGTTAAATCCTTCTGAGAAAAGATAAAAATACAAGTCAGAGCAGTTCACAGTGAGTTTTATACCTGTTTAAGAAAGTCAGATCTTGTCACAGGGCTGTTACTTCCCACTAATCCTGGGGATGGAGACACTGATTACTCTACAACCAGTGCGGGATGCATTTAATAAAGTGGAATTATGGGTCATGTCCATGGCATGTCATATCTCTGTTGCTTGGCTGACTGGAAAACACATACATAAATTATCCATTGTTTTTTTTAATCAATACTCTGTCCTTTGGGGCTTCCCAGGTGGTTCATTGTTTTAAAGAATTCACCTGCCAAACAGGAGACATGGTTGTGATCCCTGAGTCAGGAAGATCCCTTGGAGGAGAAAATGGCAACCCACTCCAATATTCTTGCCTGGGAAAATGTCACAGACAGAGGAGTCTGGTGGCCTGCAGTCCATGGGGTCCCAGAAGTGTCGGCCATGAATGAGCAACTGAGCAGGCACACATCCTTTCATTTTGCCAGTTATACCAACCTGAGGCAAGATAGTGGGAAAATATGGTAATTTTTAGTGTATGTTAGTGATTCATTCTATTCATTTATCTCCAGAAAATCTTCCACATTCAGCCCTCTCAATTGAACAAATATGGAATTGAATATTTAAAAACAAACACCGCTCCAAAGCTGTGAACCTCTTTCCTTGGTCTCTACAGAGGTTTTTACAAATGGAGGAATGCTTACAGGGCAGTGAGTGTGTTGCTTTTGGGCACACAGGTTGTGAGCTGATGAACTGAATCTAACAAAGACTGAAGCAGTAATAGGCTAGTGACTTGTCTGCAAGAGAAAAGGGACATTGTCAAAGTCCCCTAAACCTTGAAAGAGGGGAGTGATTGGAGGTTGCTGACAAAGGAGAGGATGAACGTCTGAGTTCTCTTCCTCAGTGGGAATCTTAGCCATCCCTCGACAGAAGGGCACAGCAGAAGCAAATAATTGAATCATCCCTTGGATAAGGTTCCAAAATCTATTATCCATTGTTTCTCTGCTTGGGGACTCTTGGCTGGAAGCAGTTAATCAGAAACACTTCTCAATAGGAAAAAAATGCTTTTAATTTTAACCAGGATGTATTAATTAGTGACATTTAAATGGAACTTGCTATGTCTTCTTACAATACTATATTTCCAAATGTACTCTGTTTTGAAGTGAGGTGTTACTTTATGGTGTTTGTTCATTAGTTCATTTATTCAATAAGTAGTTTTTGGGCACTACTCCATGCAGTGTTTTCCTGTCTTCTGGTGACACAGTGCTGACAGGACACATTGCCTGCCCTAGGGCATCTCATATATTAGTTGTATATTTAGACAGTAAACAGATGACTTTAACTGTATTGCATAGTTGAAATTTGATATGGATAAAATTTAAATGTTTTCACCAAAAAGGGTAAATATGTGGGGTGATGGGTATTAGTTAATGGCAATCCTTTTACATTTTGTATGTGTGTATATACATACATACACACATACTATATATATGGCTTCTCTGGTGGGTCAGTGGTAAAGAATTTGCCTGCCAAACAGAAGATACAAATTTGATCCCTAGGTTGGGAAGATACCCTGGAGAAGGAAATGGCAACCACTCCAGTATTATTTCCTGAAGAATTCCATGGATAGAGGAGCCTCATGGGCTACAGTCCATGGGGTCACAAACAGTTGGACATGACTATGACCAAACAACAACATGTATATATGTATGTATATATATACATACAAATTTTATGTGTCAATTCTACCTTAGAACAATGAAAAAATGAGAAAAAATTTTAAAAAAACAGGTGATTTTAGTACAGTGAGATAGGCATTTGATAAAGTTAGGGAACTTTAGTGGAAGGAAGAAATAGATAAACTAGTTTAAAGCATACTGTGTGGTACATTCCAGAGGACAGCCAAGGTGAGAACTAAAGATGAATAGGAGTTAGTTAGGTGAAGAAAAAAGAATTGGAGGCAACCTTCTCTCACGTAGTCTAGATATTCAGCTTTTACTAGTCAGCAGTTTTGAATATTTAATAAGTGACCCCGATATACATGTATCTTTTTTATTTCTTATAACAACCTTCTTAAGAAGGTACTATTTTTATTCCCATTTGAAGTGTGAAGTAGAATCTCAAAGAGGTTAAGCTGTTTACTCACGTCATACAGCATATAAATAAGTAAAGGAATCTAGATTCAAACACAGGTTGGTCTGCTCACAGAACCTTGGTTTTTTTCCCCATGGGGTATATTGGGTCTCATGTCTCCCAAACTACCCGTCTTTGGTTGGACATGGGATAGAATTGTGATACAAGACCACCGATTTACTGACAGTGGGGTGCAGTCAGATTATCTATCTTGTGACTGCTACCAACATAGATAGAGATATGTGGAATATATATCTAGATATGTAGATATAGACATAGACATAGAGACATAGACATATAGACATAGATACAGACATAGATAACTTGGTGGATTAATGGTTAGCACTGGAACTGAAAGCTGTAGTATAGCTACCAGGAGTGGCCAGAATTGAAAGTGTGTAAAATGAACAAATGGAGTATTTTTATTTAACAGAGAATGAAGAATGGGGTTATTCACAAAGAAAGGAGCAAAGAGGACTCTTCTGAGAGATGGAGAGAAGAGACTTGGTGGCTGCATCTTCAGTCACAGAGTCTATGGGGCCATTTTGTTTTCTGCCCTCTGGTACCCATGAAAATGTTTATGACATCTTTACAGTCTATAAATATAAGTCAATCTCTGTTTCCACAGCCAAAAAATTCCAGCTGAAACACATCCTTTGTGCCAGGCCTTGTGCATGCAATGCCTCTAGTCTTCCTAAAGCCCTTCTAACTCAGGATTATGGTGAGTTGTTTTTTTTGTTTGTTTGTTTCTAGCTAAAAAGAACCTGTAAACAGAAGTCAAGAAATTTTTACAAAAATTAGCAGTCAGTATATTCTGGAGCTATAATTTGGGACCAATACACTTATTCCAAGGGCTATTTCATACTCTGCACAAAATCACAAATCACATTGTTGGTACTTACATTACTGAGTTCCTTTTATGTCCCTGCCAACAAGTCACCATGTGATTTGGGGAATTTGCATAAAATTCTTTGGACCTCATTTTTATCATGTGTAAAATTATGGGGTTTGATCAGAAATAAAATATATTTATATATTTTAAAATTCTGTAGACGTTTTTGTAATACAGGTACTTCTTTTCTCTCTGTACTAGATCTTGCTGTTTTAGCAAGTAGGACATGGGTACCACATGAAATATGATGTTAAAACTGTGACTTTATGCACATGTTTGGTGGTGTTAGTGGTAAAGAACCCGTTTGCCAATGCAGGAGATATAAGAGATATGGATTCAATTCCTGGGTTGGGAAGATCATCTTGGGGAGAGAATTGCAACCCACAATGGGATTCTGGAGAATCCCATGGACAGAGGAGCCTGGTGGGCTAAGTCCATGGAGTTGCAGAGTCGGACACGATTGAATGACTAAAACTTTTAATACTTTAACCTTTCTCAGCATTGATTATCATTTTTTCAAAGGAAAAGTAACAGTGCATAAGTTACAAGATAGTTGAAAGGATTAAATAAAATAATGTCAGTAAGCTGTTGATTGAAATGCCTGAAATGTTACATTTCTTTCCTTCTTCCCTTGACCCTCTCCTCTCACTATGCACTTTTTTCCTTTCCTCCTTCTCACACTTCTTCTTTCAAAGTGTGCTTTATATGAAAGTTCAGGGCTTATGTTTCAGGAATATATTTTAAAGGGAAATGAGAACTATGTTCCAAATGTTTAATGGTGAGAACCATAAGGAGATGTAAGAGTGCAGGAATTCCTGTCCACTGTCATTGTTTCTCCAGGGCAGTGCCAGAGGATGGAAGAGATGAGCTAATGTAATGTGTCGCCTCTAATCTCCGTGATCATTTCTTCTGGAACTGATACAAGGGCCAGATGTGATTCAGAGAGAAAGTGTGCACTTGGCTTTGGAAAACCTTAGAGCTTTTAACAACAAGAATGTTTGATTTAACCTTAGAAAGAAACCCAGGGAACTCCAAAAGACCTGTTCTGTGTCATTTTGCCCATAAAGAATGTTTTGGAAGAGGAGAGATGAGATTGGAGGGAGTAGGAAAGGCAAAGTGTAAGTATAGTGTCAGAGTGCTTCTTATAAAAGTGTAGTATCAGAGTGCTTCCTGACATTGTCAAGTTGTCAAGTTGGTTATGAAGGACTATGAGCAGATAATGAAAATGGCTGGCACTTTTAGGAACAAGTGACCTCAATCTTCTCGCATTGTCCACTTAGAATAGAGCCTGTCTAGAGTCAGTTGGAAGTTTCCTAAGCAGAGTTGTTGCCTTGGACATCTAAAGGAGCATCATTTGCATTGTAATCTATGTGAAAGTTATCCCTGGGGTTGTGCAGTTTTGTGGTGCAAAACCTGATATAGACATATTAAATCCAGCACCTTGTTTGTTAGTAAAAGAGCTTTGAGACTCACAAAGGGCAAGTCTTGGGCCAAGGTCATGTAGGCAGTTGCAGAATTGAATAAGAAGCCAAATTTCTCTAGTTTCAGTTTAGTGATCTTTCAGTTAAACCTGTGATTCCCAGACTATGGTGTGCAGTTCTCTAAGAACCATGCAGTTGTCACAAGTACAAGGAGCTTTACATATATGTGTTTCCCAATATATGGTAAAAGTACAATTATTATCATGTACTAAACTTTTTATAATTTTTGCATGAAAAAATGATCCCTCATTTAAGATTAGGTTAGCAAGTACTGCTGAAATCACTTTGCCTGTCAAACTGCTAATTTATATTGTTGTTCAATTTCTTTTTTTTTTTTTTGCTAAAAAGAGAATGGAAACAATACCTTTGTAACACAGATTTTGAGATATACCTATCAGAGAAATGCTCCCTGTATGAAGATAGAGAATCCAATGAGAGTATTTTACTGTATCTTGAAAACAGATCACAGTATTCCATTCATGGAAAATGCTTTAGATTCAACTCTAACTCTGTAAATAACTAAGTGACCTTTGACAAGTCACTTATCCTCTTTCATTTATTCAATAGGCAATTATTTAGTGCTCACCAGGTACCAGGAATTTACCTGGTGTGAAGAAACAGATAAAAGAAACCTTTCTAACCTTAAGAATCTATCTCGCATTCTAATGAGAGAGAAAAAGAGAGAGAGAGATGAGAAAACATTCGCCATATATCACGGTAAGTTCTGGCATCATTTTTGTGAAAAACTACATTTATTTATTTACTTACTCAGAGGTAAACTCTGAGGCTTTTATGTGAATCCTCATGGACTCTCTAAAGTCAGTTCTCTGGATATTCCTATTTTTGAGAGAGGAGGCTCAGAGCTGGAAAGTTCTTTCTCAAAGACACACAGTGAGAGCTAAGATTTGAATTCTGGGTCTGATGACTGAATACTCTGTGTTTCTTTTAGAAAATTCTCTCTGGAAGCCAGAGTGGACTGGGGCAGAGAAGGGGACATAAGAGTCTGGGCTGTGATCTAGGAGAGAGGAGATGGAGCCATGTAGATGGAGAGGAGCAGGACAAACCACGATCTGTTAGTACTTAGCTGGGAGGGAGAATGCTGAGTGGAGGGAGTGGAAGGCCAGAAGGAAGTTGATACCAAGGCCTTGGTTTCTGGTTGGGTACTTAGATGGTCAGAAGACTGATTTTCCAGATCATCAATGCAGTCTTCCTCACTTCACGGTGCATCTTTACTCCATTGAATTTCCTCACTGTCCTAGAGGTCCTGTGTCCTCTAAGTTCTAGGCTGACCTCTCCTGTGGGGGACACTGAGAGATAGTGTTCTAAAGAGACTGCTAGAGGGCCAAGTTATGGGGAAGGCTATCCCAGAGCTAAAGAGTTCAGGAGGTCTAAGCAGCAGTATGGTTCAAATTATCATAAAAATATTTTTAAAATTTTATGATGAACTTCAGGCATGGAGGTTTGAACAATGATTCCAGTTTGCAGCTTTTGGTTATCATTAGTTTGTGCAAGGTCCTCTTATTTCATACATTTATTCTTGTTCTTTAACCTTTTTTCCTTTTCATTCTGAACAATTTTTTAAAATTTGCTTTTAAAAATTTTTATAATTTTTATTTTTTGGTTTGTTTTTTTGTTTCTTTTTTTCCTCTTTTTTTTTTTCCATTGGAGAACAACTGGTTTACAATATTGTGCTGGCCTCTGCCATACACCAACATGAATCAGTCACAGGTATACATATGGTCTTCCCAGGTGGCCCCAGTGGTCCTGCCAATGCAGGAGATAGATGCAAGAGATGTGCATTAGATCCCTGGGTCAGGAATGGCCTCTAGAGGAGGAAATGGCAACCCATTCCAGTATTCTTGCCTGGAGAATCCCATGGAGAGCTACAGTCTATGGGGCTGAAAGAGTTGTACACAATCGAGCGACTGAACACACATACATATGTCCCTTCCCTTCTTAACCCCCCTCCCATCTCCCACTCCACCCCAGCCCTCTAGGTTGTCACAGTTTTTAAAAAAGACTTCATGTGTACCCTTAGATTTTTATGTGTTCTTGCAAGTTTTTTTTTTCTGAAGTCTTTTGGAGTGTAATTGGCTTACAATGTTGTGTTACTCTCAGGTGTATAACATAGTGATTCAGTTATGTATATACATATATTCATTCTTTTTCAGATTCTTTTCCAATTATTGGTTATTACAGATATTGAGTAGAGTTCCCTGTGCTATAGAGTAGATCCTTGTTGATTTTCTATTTAGTGTAATTGTTAACAATGGGAGCCTATAGGAATGAAATTGACCCTAGATCTGGGAAAGGAAGTGGGTTTTAGGATATTCTTCCGAGAGGATCCCATTCAGAACATGAATTGTGAAGCAGAATTTGTCCCTGGCAAATGAAGGAGGAGGAAAAGGAAGACTTTCCAGACAGGGAGTGCCATGTTCAAAGGCAGAGCAGGATGAAAGACTGTGTGCTGTCTGGCTCTCATTTTGAACCTCCTTTGAACCTGAAACTGCTAAGGAGAAGCAAATTGGAAATCTATGAGCTGTTTTACACATTTCAAGAAACTTAAATAAAACCACAAAATCTCAAACTTAAGGACTGCTGAGGCTAAAATGTCAAATTGCTTAGCCTTTGGTTTTAAATTGGTTTAAATTTTATCAGTTGAGTTAATCTCTCTGTTTATTTTATATCAATCAGAAGTATTATTTGAGAGTGCCATATAGAATTGATTTGTAATGAAAACATAAACATGTTACTTAATAAATGAAATTTTGTAGACAAAGTTTTTTTCATGAATGAATGAGGAAGAATGAGGATGAATGGAGGAAGACATAATGAAATACATGAAGTCCTAAAGTACTCATATGTTTTTGGGAAACAGGATATTCATCAATATGCCTGGATGATAGATATTAATTCAACATGTGGGATTAATAAATAAACAGATATCTAGGTTGTAGGTTATATTGCTTGGAGAGTTTAATTCCTTTGCTGTTCATTAGCTTTCAAATCCAAATTTAATTTATTCCTTCCTCTCTTTGAGATTCATGAATCAAGAAGCAGATGCCAAACATACATATGAAAATGTCTTGATTGCCATCTTTCTCCTAAAACAATTAAATTTACAATTAAGTCAATAAGAACTCAAGGTACCAAACTAGGATACTAGACTTTTGCCTCAAATAAAGACAATAGAAGATCCTTAATAGGATAAGCCTTCTGTCTATTCTGAATTGTAATTCAGTTTAGTGACAACTTGCTTAGACTATGAATACTTAAGAAGTTCAGGATACAAGACCCGACTTAAAGGGATTTGTGAGTAAATTAGGTACAAATAAATACAAATAAGACATTTCAAGAGGAGAAACCAGATAGTCATCGTGCTCCATTTCTCCTGCCCATTTCCAATTTCCCAGCTGCCTTTGAACAGATGCAGTCTTTAGTTATGGCCAGAACTCTACCAACACATCACTTTGCCGCCTATATTCCAGTCTCTGTAGTACTATTTGGTTTTCTTATCTGGTTAAAGAGGAACATCAATATGATACAAACTTTGCAAATTAAGGTGGCTAAAAAATATTTTGAACTGTCTTTCTTCCTAATGGTTTTGCAGATACTGTCATTTCACATGATTCAACATTTATGCACTAAGCTTTAGTGTGTACTTTGTCCCTAGGGAGAAACTCACAATCACATTAAGCCATTGCATTCAATAGTTATGATTTTCTTAAGTCCTTTTGAAGACCTTCATCTTCGTCACCCACAAGTTCTAGGTGATGCTAATTCTCCTATAGCCCTATCATACTTCCAACTAAACTCCTCACCATTTTACAACCTATAAACTAAAATGGTAGCTATCAATACCAGTAATAGACCAAATATTTAATAGTGGAAAAAAGATAAGATTAAACTAGTATTGATTACCTTAATTATTCCTGTGTTTAAAACAAAAGAAGATATAGGAGACCAGGTTATTTCATTTCCACACATGATGCATTCCTTTAATCTTCAGAACAACACTTCAGCTAGACAGGGATCTTCACTCCTGTAGGGTTTGAGTCCTTGGTAGTCTTGCCAATGTGAAATTGAGGTCATTTTCCATTAACCTCTCCCTTGGATATGATGATACAAAGAATTACTCAGGTAGCCTCCAAGTTCTAGGGGTCTATCCATACTCTCTGCAAGCACTGAATATAGTAGAAGCCAATGACCTCTTTAGACTTAGCATTAACAATTTGGCCAGTACTGGTCCTATTTCCCTATAGTTCCATCAGTGGCCCAAGAAGCTAGAAAAGTCCACATGGCAATCTGAACTGCAGTAAGAACTACATTGTACCTAATTGAATGTGTCATTCTCTTGGGAACAAAAAAGCTACAGGTCACCAGAGTTCAGAGTTATTGGGATAGGAAACAAAATTTAAAGCGATTGATTCTCAGATCTATATAATTTGGCTATGTAAGAATCAGCACCAGTTGTATATTTAGTTGTTATGATACTCAGGTTAGCCAAGGTGAGGTGCCCCTGTAAATCTCCTGTTATTTCCAGTATCAAATTTTAATCCTAAATATAGTTCTTGTTTTGTTTATGGATTTCTACTGGCATTTTTTTAGGAAGGGGTAGGGGTCACCTATGTAAAACAAAACAGAAGTTTCTCATCTCTAATGAATGATACCTATTTTTTAGAAGAAAAGTTCCAGTAAATCCCAGTTTTCTAGTTTTTAGTTCTTAGTTACAATGATGATAGCCTTCCTTGGTGGCTCTGGTAAAGAATCTGCCTGCAATGCTGGAGACCCGGGTTTGATCCCTGGGTCAGGAAGATCCCCTGGAGAAGGGAAAGGTAACACACTCCGGTATTCTTGCCTGGAGAACCCAAGGACAGAGGAGCCTGGTGGGCTACAGTCCATGGGGCTGCAGGTCGGAAACAACTGAGTGACTAAAGCTCCTACTACTGCAGGAGCTATCTGAAGGCCCTTAGAAGCTAATTTTCACTGGGATGGGAAACTATGGCAGTCAGATTACAGTGTTCAACAACGGAATGAAGAAGTAAAGATATGATTATGATTACCTTTAGGGAAGTGCGTCAGCGTAAAGGAGCAAAATGGGGTCTTAACGTGCAGAGGTGGAAGCTCAGGTTAAGGTCCTTACAAATGAAAAATGAACAATTACATTTGAAGTCAGAGGTCACATAGCTAGAAAAGAAGAAATGGATCAGGAATCACGAGTCCTGATCTCAATTCCATGGATACCTGCGTGACCTTGGGCAATTTGTTGGGTGTCTCTCTGCTTTAGATTGCCCGTTTGACAATGATAAATTAACTCCTTTCCCCAAAGTTCACCAAAGCAATTGCATCTGATCTGGTCTCATATAAGTTTTCTGTGTAAACTGGAAGGAAAGAAGGGTTATTACTTTTGTTTAAGATCACATTGTCCTTGATAACCCCTGGAATTCTGGCCACTTAGGATTGAAGTGTATAAATAGCTATGAAAAACATCTTTTTGGCTTAGAAGGTATATAATTGGTGGCCTTTCACAAACCTTAGCTAACATCCTACACAGAAAACGTCCTACTGCTGCCAGCCCTGCAAAGACAGCACCGTGTGGCTGAGCAAAATGCATTCTGTTCTGCATCATGCATCATCAACAAAATTGCCACTTAAGGCCTGATTCCAGAATCTTTATTGTTGGTTCTAATTTATGAAGCAAACATCGGAA